TCTAAAACGAAATGGAGACAACACGATCTTCTTCGAAGAGCTTAGTCTCTCTTTCCAAGCAGGGCCCCACGCGGAGCTTCCACCAATTTGTCCTTGTTTTTGTTTTTGTTTTTGTTATTGTTTTTGTTTTTGTTTTTGTTCTTGTTCTTGTTCATGTATTTTTCTTTTTTTTTCTTTTTGTTTTTGTTTTTGTTCTTGTTTTTGTTCTTGTTTTTGTTCTTGTTTTTCTTGTTCTTGTTGTTCCCGTTCTTCTTGTGTTCGGTGTAACCGCCAGCCTGGCGTATCTTTTTTGCTCTGCCTCTCCATGTCATGGCCTTGGCAGTCGGACGTCTCTTGACAGACTCCGACGCATTGGAGGAGGAGTCGTCCTCGCTATTGTCAACTCCGCAGGGCGGGAGAGCGGTGCTCTCATCCTCCTGCGAGGCTTCGGGTGGCCCGGATGCCCTGGATGCCATGGAAGGAGCAGGGCCATGGCTGAGGCTGTTACCCTCTTGCTTGTCGTCACTCCCTCACAGCTGTCCATGTGGGAATCGCGTTCTTCTGCACTTTCGACTCGGAATGCTGCACTCGTGCCAATGTGGCCTACAGCCGTGCCACAGATCTCACGGTGTTAGCATGTCCTGTTAACATGCATGGCATCCCGGGAGCATTGCAAGTGCCTGTTTTCCTTCTTCATGGAAGTACCCTTGCAGAGCCGTTGCACTGCTTCGCGTGGTTGCGAGAACAAGCACGGCATCGCTCCCTGCAGACGCCCTTGACAGCAGGCTTTCCAGGTGGTTATAGGTGAGGATAGTCTGATTCGCAGGTGGGTTGGTGACAGCTTCATCATTCTGTGAGGAGTGGTGCCAATCAACGAACCTTAGGCCGGTTGCGACTGTGATTGGCTCTGATGGAAGTAGTGCCAATCTGCCAGTCGCTTTGCTTGCGACTGCACAACATAGGATATTGGATTCCTACGAGCGGTTCATGGACTTCTTGCGATACCCGGGCACAGGTTCCTCGCGAAGGCTGTTGTGGCTGCAACTTTGCACAGGCCTGAACCATGGCTGTCCTAGCGGGGTCTGCCGGCTGCGTCAGTTGCCTGCACCATGTCCTCTTGTTTGAAGCCTTGGCAAGTGTGAGTAAGTGCACCAAAGATCGCAGGGACTTCGTGCGGCATATGCCAGCTATGATCCGCTCTCAGACCTATTGGTGCCTCAAGTAACAAAGTGCGGTGGGCCTTTTGGTCATCGGCCACCCTGCCAGGGCTTTGCTTCGGGTCACCCAAAATTGCTCGGAAGAACGGCTGGCGCGGGATGGCTGGCGCAAATGCCGTCTTGAGGTCCATATCCTGTTGTGTTTCTTCATTGATGAGGATATCAATGTCATGTGCGCATTCAGGGTGGAGTGGCTTTGCCCCTTCTGTTCTCAGACTAGGCCGGTTGTGGTGATGACTACTCTGCAGCTGGGTATTCTGGAAGCAGCCTCCGCTGCTGGCAGGTCAAATTCTGTTTTGGCGGTGTTAGCCTCCACCTCTTCACGGCCCACTGGTCTAATGTTTTTCCCAAAAGCATCTCCGATGCTTGGGTTCTCGTTTAGTCGCTAGTGCCGGGGGAGAGCGAGGAAAAGCTTACGTTGTCGGGGACGGAAGATGGAGGTGGAGGTGGACGGGGTTGGGAAGGGAAGAGGGAAGGGAAGGAAGAGGGAGGGGAAGGAAGGGAGGGGAAGGAAGGGAGGCGCACAGGTGGGGACGGTTGGGGAGGGAACAGATGGAGGGGAGCGAGACGGGAGGGGCATGTCTGGGCAGGAGAAGAAGCGAGACGAAAGGCGCATGGATGGGGACGGGGCTGGGGAGGGAGGGAGTCCATAAGAATCCTTTAAGATAAAATGTGTGAAAATCATAAATTTTATGAAAACAAATATATTTTAAAGAATGACAAATTTTATTGTTTATTTTGGAAATAGAAAATTTATTTATTGATGATAAAATTCTATTTTCCAAAAAAGAAAATAAAATATATTTCCAATAATAAAGCTTGTTTGGAATAATAAACTAATCTTGCGAGTGTATACACGACCACCACCACCAACGCCACCACCACCAACAACAACATTGCCAGTGGGTTCGTGAGCTTCCTCACTTTCGACAGGACATCGTGGCAATATCACACTGCTTGCGATGGCCTAGCTGAGCCGTGCATAGATCTTTCCAAACTGTCAAGAAAAGCTAGTATACTACATTTCCAACGCGCTCAGAATCTCTCTCAAACTCTCACGCGCAACTCTCTCAAAACCCGCAAGTAAGTCTCTCAAACCTAGCTTATGCGCAAGTCTCGAACAGGCCTGGTGGTGCCTTTGGCACAGCAGGAGGTGGTGCAGCTGCTTCGGGTTTCTTGAAATGTCTGCGTTGAAAGTTTGAGGGTTTCGAGAGTTTGGAGAGTTTCTGGTTCTGGAATTTTTTGGGATTGAAAGTTTGAGGGTTCTGAATGGAGAGTTTTAGTTTTGGGATTGAGAGTAATTATTTGAGGGGCTGACTGGCTCCTGAAAAGGATGAGGATTCACCCTGTCAAACAAAGGTTCAGTCTCTCAAAACACTCAGACTTAACTCTCCAAACAAATCGAACAACGTCTTCCTATTGACAACCTTGCTAGTAGGGGTTCGTTGAAATTTCCTCAAAATTTAAACCCCGAAAGCTGCAAAAAACCAGAAACTCAAAAAACTCCTAAGCGAAAGTCAGTGGGCACCTCCTCCAACACTTGCTCCAGACCATATGACCATATATGGCTGCGGCATTAAGAAAACACTCAGAACTCTCAACTAACCTACAACAACGTATATGCTTCGATCCTCACCACACCATGGACCGTCCCCATGAGCCCATTTGGCACGCATAAAAATACAGTTTTTTCCACCCACCATATGCGTCAACCGATCTTGTCGATCATTGACCAGCGGCTCGGTATTCTGATTCGATCGTGGTCATATATGTCTACAGGTGCCCTCCTGACGCTTTTGCTGGAAGGTCGCCTGCAAACTCTATTTGGAAGGAAGACTCTGCTTCACGGCTGTTTGGCATCTAGATCTGCCAATTGGCTGTCTGGCATCTAGATAACCCTGACTTGGGCGTTTAAGCCCAAGGTTGTTGTCCAACAGTTTTGCCACAAAACAACTGCATTTTGCCTGCCATCCACCACTGTCACTCTTCCAAAATTCATCTCATAACCCGCCTCGGACTTCTGAGGCCCAGGTTTGCGTCAAACAACCTCACCAGGGCCATTGTGTTTTCTCGTTGCCCGGAGGGTGTGCCGCGACCAACCTGTTATTTTTTGACAACTTGTCATTCACAACTTTCATGTTTCCAAAGTCTGACGTGTCTTCTCGCAAGAGCAGGATCGAAGAAAGACAAGAGCAGCATCGAAGAAAGACAAGAGTCGTGATGGGTTTGAAAGGGTTGTCTCGACAGTTTCTGATATTTCTCCAGAGTCTTGACAGTCTTGAAAGTTCTTTGAGAGTCTTGAGAGTTTTGAGAGTTTTTCCATATTTGATATATGAGTGGAACTCGCGAATCGTGTCGAAATACTACCTTGAAAGCATTGCTAGCATTCTGTTTCAAACCAAAGTTGTTGGCCCTTTCTGGGCAATAGATTGTTGGCGCTTGATGTCTGCGCTCGACGATGCTGGTACCTCTGAAAA